TTCCTATTCCCATTGCCATGCCCAGGATAATCCCGCATGACTCCCTCGGGAGCTGTGTTCCTGCTCCCATTCTCCATCCTTCAACACCATCTGCAGTTTCCCGTATCCCAGAAATCCACAACGGTTCCCTGCAGAAATGGGGCAAAATGTTCAAATTAAGACACCTTCCTTCAGGCTCAGCTTTACACCTCAGGTCACCAGCAGCTTTCTGGGGAGACTGAGAGACCTCCAGCTCCTTCCCCAGCTGGACAGAGCGGGAGCATGGCACAGCACAGCGTGCTCATGTCCTGGCACGCATCCTGCCTGCATCCTGGCACAGCATGCCTGCATCCTGTATCTCTCCCACATCCTGCATCCTGGCACAGAGTGCCAGCATCCTGCATCCTTCCCGCATCCCAGCCGGGCATGCCTGTATCCTGCATCCCGCCCGCATCCCAGCACTGCGTGCCTGCATATCACATCCTGCCCGCATCCCAGCAGGGCATGCCCGAATCCCGCATCACTCCCGCATCCCGCATCCCTGCCCGGCGTGCCTGCAGCCCGGCGCAGCCCCTGCAGCCCACGCGGCCCAATGGCAGCGGCTGCGGCAGCCGAGCCCGTCCCCGCGGAGCCACCCGCCCGCCCACCGCAGCCCCGGCCCCGGCCCCGACTCCCTCCTCCCTTTGGCCGCAGGCACGGGATGGGGACCGGGCAGGCTCGGGGGAGCCGGGGCTCTCTCTGCTCCCCTGCGCTGCCCGCTGCGACCCTGCCGAGCCCCCAGAGCCACTGCAACCTCCCGGCTCCTCCTGGCTGCTGCAAGCGTCACCTTCACGGGTGCCCGTGTCCCTGCCTCCAACAGCGCCGCTGCCAGCCCTGGCACTGCCTGCGCGCTCCTGCAAGCCCCGCAGGTCCATGCAGGGTCACTTTGTCAGTGGCAGTGCAGTGAAGCCGGAGCGGGCTGGGGGACCCCCCATGCCCCAGGCACAGGGTGCAGCCCAGCTGCTTCCTTCCTTGCCCTGCCGCAAACTGACTGCAACTTCTTGTGTGGCTCGGGACTGGCTCAGGGAGTGCATACGGGGGATGTGAGTGGCATGAGCTTGGCCATGGGCTCTGCTCTGCTGTGGGCTCAGCTCTGCCACGGGCTCAGCTTTGCCGTGGGCTCAGCTCGGCCATGGGCCTGGCACTGCCATGGGTTTGGCTCTACCACGGGCTCTGCTCTGCCATGGGCTCAGCTTTGCCATGGGCTCAGCACTGCCATGGGCTCAGCACTGCCATGGGCTCAGCTCTCCCCAGTTTTCAGTAGGATCAGTGCTTCACATCCGTTAACTCGGGGTAATGCTGGGGGGCCCGAGTGCTCTGTCTGGCAAGTCTGGGGTGCATTGGAGGAACTTTGCCGGGAAGCACCACGGGACTATCGGCACACCAGGCAGGGCTCAGCACCCTGAGGAGCCAGAGCACCCCTTTGTGCCAGCAGTTTGGTGCTTCCTCAAGTACCACTTCTCCACCTTCAGTTTCCTCACAGCAAAACTCAGCTGCGAGTCCGCAGTCACAGGAGTTTCCGTGGGGTGATGGAGAGGGAAGAAAAGTGTTTTCTTCTGTGGGACACGGGTGGAGGGTACCCCAAGAGCCTGGGCTCCATCCCTATCCCCAGCAGCACGATGGGGTGCAAGTGTGGGTGCTGAGACACAGGGGGGATTTCTGCCTGGGTAGCATCCCAAACATGCTGCTGTCAGAGCGAGAGGAGGTCAAACTGCCCATGGAATTAAACTGAACACAGGGATGAAGCTCTGATGAGCCCCTGCGGGTGAGGCACCAGGGAGCAGCGGGACCCATGCCCTGGGTACCCCGGTGTCCTTCCCCGCTGCTCAGGTGAGGACGGCGCCGAGCATCACCCCGCTCTGGGTACCCATCCCTGTATTTCCATCCCTATTTCACCGGGTTTCCAACCAGCAGCCTCAGCACATCCCCCCCCCCCCCCAAGCCGCGGGAAAGGTGACTTTGGCACAGTTACCGCCGTGCCCTGCACTGCTTGGTGCCATGAACCCCCCCGGTGTTCCCAGCCCCCTGTCCGCAGCACCGGCGCCGCAGGATCCGCAGCGCAGCAGCCCTGCCCCTTCCCTCTGCCCGGGGAAGCCTCTGCTGCAGAGCAGCCTTTTCCCTCCCCTCCTCATGCCTGGCTCTGCCCGTGCCCGGTGGGCTCAGGTGTGTTTAGAACCGGGCATCAGGACAAGGCTCAGCCCCCGCCGGGGATTGAGCTGCGACACGTGAGGTCGCCCGCGATGGTGCTGTGTGTGCCGGAGCGCAGGCTCCCGGGTGGATGACACAGCCCAAAAGCACTCACGACACGGCGGGCGGGTTCGTCCTGCATGGCCGTCACGTACCACCAGCACCAACGTGACGGGGTCCAGCAGGGTCCCCGACGTGCGGCACCCGCCAGCGCCTGCCCCTTCCCCAGCGCGCCGGTGGGCAGGAGCCCGCTGTGTCCATGGCTGCCGGCCAGGCGCGGCCGAGCCCCCGCCGCGGCACCGCACGTACCTGGCTCCGGTGCTCGGATGGAGATGCGCGGTCAGGAGGCAAAACCAACAATGGGATAAAAGCGGAGCTGGCGGCTCTGCGGGTTTGGGAAGCGGGGCCGGTGCAGAGCAGCTGCGGCAGCCGGGGGCAAGCACGGCGGATGGCGGCTCCTACCCCATTCCCGCGCTGTCCCTGGGAAGAGGCATCCGGTGCAGGAGGGGAAAACCGAGCCCTCCGCACCTCGGGATGCGGCAGCACCCAGGGATGCTGCAGAGCCGTTCCTGCTGCTCTCACATCCTGACTCGGCAAGTTTGGCTGCCGGTGGCGTGCAGCCCGGCTCCCGGATCCTACCGGTGCCTTAACCGTGTCGGCGCCGCAGCCCGGCACCGGCAGCACCACGCGTGGGCAGTGAGTGGCTGCCACCCGCTGCTGGCTGACCCTGCGCAGTGCTGGTGAGAGGCTCGTCTCCCATAGGGAGCCTGAGGCAGGATGTTTCCATGCTATATATACATTACTGGGTGTTTGTCTTATGAACGCAAACAGGGATGCCCATGGGCAATGCTGCCTTCCAGCCCGGGCACTACATGCTGCTGGCCACCCTCTGCTTGTGCCAATCACAGCTTCTCTGTGGCTTTTGCTTTCTAGCCACCTTGGGCAAAAAAACCGCCCTGGAGCGCCTGGTTTGGAGGCACTCTGGTGATGGGAGCACGCCGGTCCCCGGCAGTAGCATGGCACTGGGATCCCGCAGTGTGGTGGTGGCACAAAAAACAGAGGCCAAGGCAGTAAAAAGGGGTCAGCTTTGGGAAGGCGCAGCAGTGCTTTATCATTTAGGAATTAGGAAAACCCAGTCCCTTGCCATGAGCTGAGTCCTGCTCAGCTTCACAGCAGCACCCTGCCAGTGATGGGGCCAGCAGGCATGCTGCCTGCTCTGAACCACGCCGGCAATGACTGGGACCTGCTTGGCACTGCCCATGTGGGTGATCCCAGTAGGTTTCCCGCTTTCCATGCTGCAGCAGCTCAATGGTGGCAGGAGGCCATAACCCTGTCCCAATGGGAGAGCACTCTCTGGCATCAGCATTGCATCCCAGTGATGGTGGAAGCCGGCACCAAGTCATTCCGCTCTCACTCCAAGATGAGAGCACCAAGAGTGGGGAAGCAACGTCCAGCCCCTCTGCCCTCCTCGTTACAATTAATAATTACAACTAATAAGAGAAGAGGCTCAATCACATCTTCCATTAGCAGCTACAAGCAGAGGCATCTCTCATCAGCCAGCCCGAAAATCACTGCATATATACAACATGCCTATCTACAGGCACGGATCTGGCACTCACAACATTCCCAGTGATGCTTTGGAAGGAACCTGTGGTTTCTGGAAGGCTTGCTGGGTGCCCTGCCCCTGCAAAGCCTATTGGGATGGGGTCTGAATTCCCAGTGGTGCGGAGCATAGCTCTGCTCTTCTGCCAGGAGATTCTCACTGGGATGAAGGCCCAGCGCTTCCAGGATGCCTGTGTTAGCTACGACAGCCTGGTGTCCGGTTAATTGGGTATGGGGCTGACAGGACTCCCCACCACATGGGAACCACCCCTAATTACAGGCTGGAGGGGGGGATCATGAGCCAAAGCCCCTGAGTATTGGGGCTGGTTGAAGGACAGCTTGATGGGTGCCGTGGCAGCGGGTGGGCCGTGGAGGGCAAGGAATGCGGGCGCTGCGGGGGATCTGTGGGTCAATGGGGGCGGCAGTGGGGTCTCCCCTTTCCAACGACCGCTGGAGTGAAGCCAATAACTCCTGCAGCAAACGCGGCCGCTCGGTCCCCGCCATAAGCGAACCGCTCCCGACCATGTCCCGGGGCCGCGATGCCGCGGGCTCCCCCGTTCGCGCTCTCCCGCCGCCTCGTCGCGTTGCCGGGGCTCCCGCCCGCCTCTCCCGGCTCAGCGCAGGCCGCGGCCACGCCCGGTTCCGGCATCCCCGCCCCCGCCGCCGCCCTCGCCCCCGGCCCCATCCCCGCCGTCCTCCCGCTCCCCTCCCGTCCCGTCCCGTCCCGCCCGGGCCCGGCCCCACCTGCCCGCTCCGCCGCTCCCACCGCTCCGCCGCGGCGCCCTCGTGGGGGGCACGCCCCGCCCCGCCCCGCCCCTCCCGACGCTGATTGGTTGCGCCGGACGCCTCTCGCGCCGCATGCAAATGACGGAGGCTCAGGGCTGCTCCCATTGGCTGCGGCGCCGGCCGGGCCCACCGGCGAGGCCACGCCCCCCGCGGTGCGGCACCATCGCCCTAGTAACCCGATGCTGAGTCGGGCGAGACCACCCGCGCGACGGGGGGGGGGACACCGCCTGCGCTGCCGCCGCCGTTCCGCCGCCGCCGCCGCTGAGCTCCGCGCCGCTCCGCCATCACACCGCTGGTGCTCCTCTTCGGTGCACACCGGAGGAAGGGCGCGGGAGCACGGGTGGCGGGGTAGTGCCCGGCGGTGAGCCCTCTGGTTCCCCCCCCGGGCCGGCGCGGGGTTGGTCGGGCCCGAGAAGATGGCGTCAGGGCGCGGTGAGTGCGCTGGGCCCGATCCCGCGGGTGGTGCGGAGCGGAGCGGGCAGGGCCGGACCGGACCGGACCCCACCACACCGGAGTGCCCGCTCCGCTCCACCCCGCTCCGTCTTTATTCGCGGTGGGCCCCGGGCCGGTCGCGGTGCCCCGGTTGGCGCGGGTGTGAAGGTGTGCCCGGCCCGGCACGTGCCCACGCGGGGCCTCGTTGGGTTGCGGTGCTCCCGCGTTCCCGCAGCTCCCGGTTCATTCCCTCCTCCCTTGCCCAGGCTCTGCCCCGGGGACGCCGGCGGGGACAGGGCCCCCGCGGTGCAGCCACTGGGAGCGGGTGTTCCGGCAGAGCCTCGCGGTGCCGCCGCACGGCCGGCGCAGGAGGGTGCCCCCGGTGCGCCCCGCGCCCTTCTGCTGCGTCCTGAGGCACCTCGAAGGGGCCGCTCTCAGCCAGGTACGTGTGAGCCGTCATTAATCGGCCTTAATTATAGCATAGGTGAGTGCCCTGCGCAGAGGAGCTGCGGCTGCCCCATCCCTGGCAGTGCTCAAGGCCAGGTTGGACACAGGGCTTGGAGCAAGCTGCTCCAGTGGAAGCGGTTGGAGTTGGATGAGCTTTAAGGTCCCTTCAACCCAAACCAGACTTGTTTTTAAGCTAAAACCTCTGTATAACACTTTAAAAGTGAATTATTTGTTTTCCCCCCCCCGCCGTTACCAAAGCATGTTCTGCAGATTGGCCATGCTGAGATGGGTGTTCTGCAGTGGGGCTGATCCTGTCGTGCCTTGCAGGGAGCTGAGTACCAGCTGCGCCTTTCCCTCTTCGATGCCACCTACCACCACTTCTTCGGCAGGACCTGGAGGAGCAGCCTTCGAGTTGCCCGCGCTGCCCCATCGTGCCTGGCCAAGGCGGTGTTCAATGAGGTGAGTGCAGGGGAAGCTCCAGCAGACCTGGGAATGGGCAGCAATCCATCAGGGAATGGATGGAGCTGCAGGAGCAGGGTCCATGGAGGGAGGTTTTTAATGCATGAAGGGAAAAGTTGCTTTTGCTGGAGTTGAGGCCGGAGCTGCTCTGCTTTGATGCCGATTTCCTTCTTCAGTGTGGAGCTCTGGGGTCCCACTATCAGCATGCTGTAGCCAGGAGTCTTTCAAACACAGCGTGAAGCATGCACAGGCTCTGCCCCTTGTCTGCTGCTGATTCTTGTCTGCAGTGATTTGTTCTGCATGCAGGCAGTGGAACCAACCCATTTTCCTTCCTGGCACTACCCAATCCTTTGCCCAGGTTGCACCCAGACACTGCCCTATTATTAAGTTTTAATGGAACTCTTTATTAAGCTTTATGTGATGGAAAGCTTTATTAAGCGTTGTTTGATGGAAAGCTTTATTAAGCGTTGTTTAATGGAAAGCTTTATTAAGCGTTTGCTGGAACGGGGAAGCTGAGGTCTTGGGTTGCTTCCAGGGCAGCCCGGGAGCCGCGGTGTGCGGCCCTGTGCTGCCTGCTGCGCTCAGGGCTGGCAGCAGAGAGCAGTGTTTGCTCACGAGTGGGAAGGAAGGGAAGGCGCAGCCACCCTCTGGCACAGCGCTTCCCTCCCCTTACCTGGGAACCAAACTCATCCAGTGATGCCGCTCACAGCGGCAAACGGGGGTGCCCCTTATCGGGGAGACCCCACCTCCCCAGTGCTGCAGGTGAGGTGCAGCATGGGTTAGTGCTGTGTTCCTTCGTTTATTTGTGCCAGTAGCAGTATCTGAGAGGCATTGACGTGTGCATTTCTTCCCCAGGTGCTTTAGTTCTCCTCTGACCCCTGCTTTTTTGAAGAGGGATGGAGAAAAACCAGGGCAGGGGCACGGGGTCCGCGTGTGTGGCAGGTCAGGGTGACCCTGGTGGGGTTTAGAGGAGAGGACTGTGCTGTCACAAGCCACTGTTGATGCTCACAGAGGGGACAGCGAGCTTGGTTTTACAGCGGAGCTGCTGCAAGGGCTCCCTGGCTCTGCAACCAGAGGTCATTATTGCAGTGTTTTGCAATAAAAGATAATAGAATAGCGATTTATTTCCCTGGGTTGATGGGGTAATGTCTCTCTCCGTTATCCTTTCCTGACAGCCGGTGATTACGGTAAACGTTTTCCCTGGGACACTGCAGTAATGAGTCTTTAATAGAAAGAAGAACCTAGTCTTAAATCTTGTCCTGAGGAGGTGACCTGTGTCCTGTCCCCTCCTGCCTGCAGGTCCAGGCCACCCCTGTCTCTGCTCCCCACACTGGGTTGGGGTATTCTGACTCCTTTGGCTGCCCTGGTGTGGGGCTTGCTCTGCTTTTTCTGGCTCTGCAGCCTGTGAGTTACTCTGGAAAATGGGTGTTAACAACAAAAAAAGAAGGGAAAACAAAAGTTGATGATGTTTGGGGTTTAAGGGGGTTGAGATCTGGGGTCATTTGCCGTGAGCTTCTCTCTGGAAGTTTTAGTGGATGTTCTGGTTATGCTGTTGGCTGTCCCAGTGCCACAGGTGTTGCTCTGCAGCAGGCTCCACCAGCTCTGCAGTACCCTTTCTCTCCCTTTCCCACCCCAGACCATTTACTTCCATACCTCCTTGAACCACCCTGGCATTGCTGCTGTTGTGGAAGTGGTGGCAACAACCAAGAAAGAGGATGGGAGCTCTCAGCATCTCTCCTGTGGCTTTGGAGTCATCCCTCTGTTTGGCAGCGGGCCGGAGGTGAAGGACCTGGCCACCAAGGACAGAGTGTAGGTGTCATTGCCTTGCTGCTGCGTGATGGGGGATGCTGGGCATCGGGGTGACAACGTGCATGGCTGCTTTGAGGGGAGGAAGGGTGGTCCTGGGGCTGCAGAAACAAAGCCAGCATTTAGAAACCTGGAGTTCTTCACTGATGGAGAAGCAGCAATGGGTTTGTCACTGATGCCCTATCCTTAAAGGACAGGGTTTCAGCACGGGTGCAGAGTAGGCAGGTGGTTTCTGACTGTGAGCAGAGGCATGGTGGAAGAGGGAGGTGTGCTTCAGGGTGGATTTACGGACTGTGTGCTCTTTGCTTTCAGGCTGAAGCTGTACCATGGGACGCCCCGTGCCTTGCTGCACCCACGCTTTCAGGAGCCCATGGAAAGTAAGCAGCAGCAGGATGTGGTGCCTTGCTCCTTTCTTGGTGGCCTCTCTTACCCACATGAGTGTTGATATTACATGTGGTCCATATGTAGTGCTAAGTGGACTTGCCTTACTGCTAGATAGGAAAAGCCTGGCTGGGCAAACCCAGGTTTTCCTTTGCTCCCAGCACGTGCATTCCTGGATAATAACTTCAGCAGTGGTGCTGTGAGGCTGTCTCCACACCTTTGATCATTTTGGGATGTTTTCTCTTCTTCAGAGAACAAATACCTGACGGTGATGGAGAAGAGCCACCTGCAGTACACCCTGAAGCCCCACCAACCCCTGGAGATGATATCTCACCTCCTCCCTGAAAACCTTCCAGTGTCTGGGCTGCAGAGCATTCCCGGCTTGCTGCCAGTGTGCGGAGACACGAGTAAGGGCTCCTTCCCTTTCCCTGCTGCTTTTGGCTCTGGTGCCCCCCTCATCCTGGTGACATCTCCCTGACCACAGCATAACCTGTGGCCACCGCCTTTTCTTTTCAGGTGGCTGCTTGCAGAAGCCCCAGCTGATGAAGCCGGTGACCTGCTATCTGGAGAGGCTGTCTGTCTGTCTGTACCCTTCCCTGGGGGAGTTTGAGGAGGAGCTGCTGGACTTGCTGAACAGCGATCGCTTGCTGCAGGTACTGCTGGTGCAGCTAAGCAGGGGAAAGCCTGATGCAGGAGCAGTGAAGCTGGTGCTTCATTTATGGGTGGAGTGGAAAGGTTCAGCTAAAAGGTATTTGTTTTGCTTAAAGTCCCTGATTTTCTTTGCTGTACAAGCCTTCTCCTTGCTTTACTGCTGGCTGAGCACACAGGTGCTCTCTGTAGGCTTTGTTTTGAACATCCAGACACTAATAAGCAGAACTTGAGTTTGGGGAAATGCAAAGACAAGATGCAGAGCGCACTGAGTGTGTCTCTTTAGGAACAGGACCGCTGGCCAGATCCTTTATTTGCCATAAAGATGAACGATTTTCATATTCATCAGCCACCATGGGGGTGGATCCTGCTCCGAGTTTCCGACGGATTGCCTGAATTTCCTGGCTGTGGGCGGCCTGGGGAGGGATGCTGTGCCTCCTCACTACCCAAGCTGAGAGCCTGCCTGTCGCAGGCTAACGCCGCTCCGGATGGCGATGGGATGGTGGTTCGGGAGCGGCGGCTGCACGTCGGTGTCCACAACGGGCTGTGCTTCGTCCAGGCACCGCAGGTGGCTGTGCTGGTGCCGGAGTCAGAGGCAGCACGGGGTGGCTGCACGGGGGTGCCCAGCTCCGGAGCCAGGTAAGGGGGAGGCCTTCCACTGCTTGTGCTGCTTCCCTCCTGCCTCGTGCGTTGCCCACAGTTCCTCTCCATCCTGGCGCAGGGGTGCAGGTCAAGCCCTGGTGCTGAGGAGCCGCATCCACCTCAGTGAGTTGGTGCCTCACCCGGCCTTCGGGATCTGCTTCCAGCTGGAATATGTCTTCTGCAGCGCGGGGAGAGCCGGTGGGAAGGTAGGGCAGAGTGTGTGCACTTCATCCTGTATTAAAACGTGGAGATATGCTGCTGGGGAGTGAAACCCCATTGAGGAACTCCATCCTCTGCCCTTGTTTTGGCACCCTGCAGCCTCAGGACACTGCAGCTCCTGCTACCTAACAAACGGCCCTGCAAAGTATCCAGGTGCTTTCTGCAGCAAATATCCTGCAAATGGGCTGTTGAATCATTTTAATTACATGTGGATCCATTTCTCCGCCGTGTATATAGAGAAATGTGGCCTGCAGCAGTCCCATCGTGTTCTGGGAAGCTAATTCGGAACATTTCAGCTTTTTTTTTTAATTTAAAAAAGGATTTTCTTTACAATTTAGCATTTCTGCTGAGAAGAAGTTAACCCCTGAGCTTCAGCCTGAGGTTCTCTGCATGTTAAAGCCAGACAAAGCCTCTGTATTGACTGCAGAGGCCAGGCTCGTTAATGCCTACTTACCGATCATTAACATGTATTGTAACCTTGCTGGAGGCTAAACCCGGCTTAAAGAGCTGTTCAAGTGTGCCCTCCAGAGCCCCTTTGCTGTCGGAGCCATCGCCTCCTTGGTGCCACTGAATCCATGGCTGTGGGTTAGGATTCACTGATGTCCCTGCTAAGATGCTCACTGCAGGAAGTGACCTCTCTTGGGGGACAAATGGGTTTTACAAAGTGGAACACGTGTCAGGCCAGAGGGATTTGGGTCGAGGCGGGAAGGAGGAGCTGAGGTTTGCTGTTGGAAGTTCTGTGTTGGGCTCAACTCCTTTAGGAAGCTGAGAGCCGAGGCCCTCACAGGGATTTGGGGCTGCAGCTGCAGTTGTGTGCCGTGGGCAGAGCAGTTAATCCCAAGGCTGGTGTGGAGCTGATCCCCTTGTCCTCAGTGCTATAATTAGCAGGCTATGAGGGTGATTGCAGGTGCTGGCAAAGACCTCTCGGTTCTCTTCTGCACCTCTCCTTTGGTTGGAGGGGAGGCTGTGGTAAGTGGAAGCCTTTAGGCTGCCTTTCCCATCTGCCAGGAATGGGGGGCTCAAATATATCCCTTAATGCAGTATGCTTGAGGTGGGGGATTAGAGCCCTTTGGTGCTGATGGCTCTGTCTCAGCTTATGTGTGCTAAATACCTGCAAGGGCTGAAAACCCTGCTGGTTTTGAAAAGCATCGTATTGTGCTTTTACCTTGTAGCAGCATGATTCTGTGGTGATCCATAACCTAGAGGTGTAGTGCCTTGTGGGTGCAGGGGTGAGATAGGATTACTTGGGGTGCGGGTGCCTGCAGGGAGGGAATAACATCAGCAGCGGGCTGGGTAAAGGGGGTAAGTGCAAGGAAAACCAGAGCACCCATGGGGTAGGGTGGCATAGGGCTTACAGGGAGAAAGGGGGATTCATACCTGTGTGCCCTGAGTTTGTGGTCAGGTGTCAGAGGTGAAATCACGCAGGAGGGCACCAGTTCTGCTGGCAGAGGGGACAGAAGCAAACCTGGATGGATCCACATCCCTCTCCATCAGAGAAGCACTCCTGGTCCTCCTGGCAGCCTGAAAGGGATGGGAGCAGAAAGATGCAGTTGTATTGGGGGGGGGGGGGAGAATAGGTGCAAGAAGAGAAGGTGCTGGAAAGCAGAATATCTCCAGGATGGGTTGGTGGGGAGCGGGTTCTGCGGGGTGGGAAGATGTGTCCGGAGGTGAGACCCTGCTTCCTCCATCCTAGAGGCAACTGGGGGTGCCCATTGCTCACTGGGCTCCCTGTGTTCCGCAGGCCCTGGCTGGCAGTGCTCGTGGTGAGGCAGCCGACATGCGCTCCGTGCGCTGGGCTCTCTGGAGCCCTGAGCTGGGTGCTGGTGAGGCGGACGTGGCGCTGCCCCTGCGCGGTGGTGCCCGCCGCGGTCCCTGCCAAACCTTGGTGTACCGGGCCCCGCCGGGCAGCAGGAGCTCCTGCAAGGTGAGGGATGGTTCTGGGGGTGCTGATGGGGCTTGGGCAGGCTTGGTGTGAGGGGGGGCTCTTTGCCAAGACCTTGGTAAGTGCCCAGGCAGCTCCCTGCATATCTGGGGATGGGTGGAGAGGGATGGAAGGAAGATTGCCCCCCCGTGCTCACACCCCTTGCTCACACCCCTTGCTCACACCCCTTGCTCACACCCCTTGCTCACACCCCTTGCTCACACCCCTTGCTCACACCCCTTGCTCACACCCCTTGCTCACACCCCTTGCTCACACCCCGTGCTCACACCCCTTGCTCACACCCCTTGCTCATGAGCTCTACACTGGTGGAAGTGCACTGGGTGTCCAGTGCTGCTTGATTTCAGTTCCTGCAGACATACTGTAAGAAGTGTTTAACTCCCAGGTTCAGGGGAAGCACGTGGAGTCCGGGACTGTCCGATTCCGTGTTTCCACTGATTGGGAAGAACACGTTGTAACTGCTGCAGAGAGCCAATGCAAGCACAGGGACGAGTTGGAGAAGCCTCCCACGCCGTCGCCAAGTGAGTGTTTTCCAGATCGCTGGCATTTAAAACACAGAGTGTGGTGCTGGTGTCTGCTCGGGGTGGGGGGGAACACGGCCCCAGCGAGGGGCAGCGAGCAGCTTGTGAATTACCAGGAGGAGCCAAGATCCCACTGAGTTGCCTTCAGCTCTCCCTTTAACTTGCCAATGTCCCCTGTGGGAGTAGTGCTGCTCCATGTGCAGGATCCTCAGCCTGCTCCCGTTCTGGGTCACTCTGATGGCGTTTAGGCTTGTGTGCCCAGCACCTGGAAGAGCTGGATGGGTGCAGCAGTTGCTCTCTGGCAGTGCTGCTTTCATCCATCTGGACTCAGAGTCCCTTCAGACATGAGGATAGGAGAAATGTGAGTTACAGGGTGAGGGGAAGAAACCATCTCATGGTGCTGCCAGTGCCTTTCCAGGGAAAGCTGGATGGGGGGGGTGTGTGTGCAGGAGTGCATCTATCCCTGGTGCCGGGGTGCCAGGTCTGCTGGCTGTGTTGGAGAGAAACCTGCCGTTGGTGTGGGTTTGGGCATGGAGCTGAGTCTGGGCTCCTGGAAATCCTCTCTGGCTTCTTTCCATGTAATCCTGCCTGTTGTGACCGATGGGAAACCAACTTCCCTTTCTGCAGCATTGCTGCTGCTCTGCTTCCCACACAGGTCTTGCTGTGAAGCTCCAGGTACCTGGCGGTGTTTAAACACATTTATGGGTTTATCCAGCTCCCGGTGCGGGTCGGGGCGATGCTGGCGCATGGATGTCTGTTCCCATGCCAGCCCTGGTGCTGCCGTGCCTTCCACGAGATGGCAGAGTGGCACCATGGCTTTGCTGCAGCCAGTGCTGGCTTCCCGCTGGTGAGGAGCCGGGTTTGCTGGTGTAAGGGGCTCTAGAGCAGAAAGCTTCAGGTGAAGTGAAGGGGTCTGGGGCTGTGCTTTAGGCTCCCTGTGGCATTGCTGCTGGTGCCTTCCTGGTGCTGCTTGAAAGGTTTTCCTGGACACCTTTCAGCTGGCAGTGGCCAGGATGGGGAGTTGCAGTGTGAGGAACCAGTGTGCTTCCAGCCCAGCACTGGGCTCATGTGCTCCAGCCTGGGGAGAGCGTGCTGGAGCAGGGATGGGGTGCCCAGTGTGGGGAGATGCTCTGGTAAGGTGATTCTAGGGGATGAGCTGAGAGGTGTTTTCCTGTCTCTGGGGATAGGTGGCAGTGGGAAGTGCAGTGGTGATCCCATGAGGCGAGTGGCCACACGTGAGAGCCAGCCTGCACCCCGAGCTGCTGGAGGAGCGTTTGGTGAACGTTTTTGTAGAGCTCTGTTGGAAAACATGCTGCCATCTGGCCCCTTTGGCCAGGGGAGGCCAAGCACATCATCCATCAGCTCAGCTGCAGGTGGTGCTGATGGATCTGTCAGTCATCTCTGAACACTGACCCAAGCCATCCTCATGGAAGGAAACCACTATTGTAGATGCAAGGAAGGCAGGGTGGTTTCCATTGCACAGCAGTCAGCATGAGATAGCTGGAATACACACAGTAGTGGAAGCAAAATGAGGTCTCTGCATCACATGGATGCAGAGATGGAACATCTGTGTCCTCGGTCTGCTCTGAAGGGCCCGCGGCAGAGCGAGCTCTGTTGCACTGGCACATGAGCTGAGCAAATCCAAACACGATGGTGCTTGTACCATTCTGGGGCACAAAAGGCTGAAGAGAGTGACAAGAAATAACAGAGGAGCAATGAAAACCTTAAAGTATCTTCAAACTTTCACGTCTCATTAAGCATCCCGCTTAGGCAGCGCCGCGTGGCCGCAGGGAGCTGCGGCACCGTCTGGGGATGCTGGAGCTGGCTGCCTTTTGCAGCAGAGTTAGCCTAATTCCCAGCAAAATAATGGATGGATCTGGAAATATGCTACTTACCCCTGCAGGCAACAGGGTTATTGGAAAAATAAGTCAAAGCAGTGGCTGAGCGATGCTGGCTGCCTCGCTGAGCTGGCTTCACCCCCGACATTCAGATAGGCTGGTGGGAGATTGAGGGGTGCTCGGTGGTGGAGGGGACAGCAGTGACAGAGGGTTCATTTGAGCATCAGTCCTGTCCCTCTCTGCAGGTCTGGTGGCTCTGCCGACGACGGTGGCCTCCCCACGGGGACCGGGGGTAAGTGCCATGGACACAGGTGGTGGGTCACGGCATTCCCAGGGGATGTGCTCCCGGTCCCATCCTCTTCCCTGGCTCCTGCAGCCAAGAGGCACTAAACATCCTGCTCAAATCCACCTCCTCCAGGGCAGCAAAACAGATCCTGCCTACATGCTGGGCAAGATTCCCTGAGCTCTTTTCAGGCCCCAGATGTACCTGTAAAGGCAGTTCTGGTTTGTGTCAGCCCAGATTTGCTGGGTACTCTTACTCCCTGGTACATGCTGACAGTGATGCATGACTTCTTGTGGAGCTGCTGGGATTTAAGGAGAGCTGTGAATACAGAGATCCCTCTTTATGCCTTTTTTGTCTTGTATCTTGATGCAGGGATCAATGCACACAAGTATTTTTTGATGAAATGAAATGCTTTGTGAGTCCGCATTAAGCAGTTTGAGCTTCCTGCTGCATTTTCTCATCTATTTGCCAGGGAAGGCGCAGCAGCTGAAGAGGAAGCAGAGGTGCAAACCCTCCGGCAACCAGGCTGTCCTGCTTCTCGGCACAGAAGAGCTGCTTTACCATAGAGGGGCCAATGCAGGGCTCTCATTCTCTCTGCTCTCCTCCCCAGCTATCGGTGTCCCAGCTGTCAGTGTCCCCACCACGGGCTGGGCGCCGGTCCCTGGTGCCACCGGCCCGTGGCTCCCGGTGCGACGGTGGCATCACTCACCTGGAGGCTGACCTGAGCCTGCCAGACCCGGGGCACTGCGCTGGTGACCAGTTGCAGGCGCTGCCCTTCACCCCGCTGCAGGTGCCCATTGCTGCCGTGGGGCTGCAGGCAGGCAGGTGATGCTCGCTGTCCCTCCCCTGTGCTCCTGTGCCCCCGTTGCCCAGCCCATTGGGGTCCCCTGCATCTGCCTCTGCACAGCTCACCCTTGTTTCTCCATCAGGTCCCACACGGTGCTGTCCCGTGCCTCCCTGGCGCGCCTGCACGCTGCCGGCTTCCCGGAGATCCTGGACCGCAACCAGGAGCCGGTGGAGATCTCGGAGCCGGCGGACCCGGCGAGTTTGAGCCTGCAGCTGGAGGAAGCCGACCCTCTGCAAGGGAATGAGATAATCCTGCAGTTCCTGGCTTTTGGCAGGTGGGGTGGCAGCGCTGCTGGTGCCTCCTGTGGGCAGATCCCAGGGGGAAGCGTCCTTCCCATCCAGGCCATTTCCCTCCTTGAACAGAAGTCCTTGCAAGGAGCTACTTCCTCCAGCAGCTGCCATGGAGGCAGAGCCCTGGAGAGCTCTCGTCCTTGACGATGTTCTTGTCCTTCCTGGACTCTCTTAAATCATGTTCCAGTTCCTTCGGCTGTGTCCGTTGGCCACAATGTGGTGTAAAAGCTGCTTAATGCAGGGCTTCTCCATAAATGCAGATGGAATTGAGAATGTTGGCACCTACGGGGTGGCTTTGGCTGGATAAGGCTGCACTTGTGGTTTTCCTGTGCATGGCAGCATGCTGTGTGAAGGTAAAGCGTTGTCTTTGCTGGGCTCCTGTGTCGTAGCATATGTCAGGAGACAGCTGGAATTACAAAGCTTTTTGGAAAGGCAAGGCAAACCGTATGCCTGTCTTCAAAGGAGTCCCAATACTTGTGATGCTGCCAATCATCTCTTGTTCTTTTACCTCTGGGTGTGTGCCAAACACGCAAAGAGCTTGTGATGGGGAGGCAGTGCCATGCCATGAACTAACCCACCCCATTCTCTCCTCAAGGGATGCTCAGGGCAGTGTGGAGTGGACGTGGCCAAGGACCATCTTCCTCACATTCCAGTTCTACCGCTTCCCACCCGTCACCACACCACGGCTGCAGCTGGTCAGCATGGAAGGGGGGCCAGGCTCCGGGCTGGCTGTGCCAGCACAGCTCCTTGTCCGGGTGAACAAGGATGGGACCCCCAGCACTGGTAAGCTCTGGTTTGTAGCATGTGGCTGCTCCTCTTCATCAGTCAGATTTGGGCTTGTCCCTGGGCTGAGGAATGGGCTGGTGTCTGCTTTAATAGCAAACCTTTGCTAATACACCAGCATTCCGAATGTCCTGCGTTGGAAGTAAAGCCCTGGTAGGTGCTGGGGGTGCAGTCAGCATCCTGAGGCTGCTGGCTCTGGTGACTGAGTTCCTTCGATAAGAAAGGCAGCACATGAGCTCTGCTCTGCTCAGAGTGAGCAGCTCTGATCCTCCTGGCTGAAGGCTTTTCTTTGTTTCTTTGTGTCTTGTTCCATTCTGGTCCCAAGGGACACCATAGGCACTTGTGGCTGATGAAGCTTTCTCCATGTGGGGCTGTTAATGGCCATGAGAGGGGGAGTCTGTGCACACCACGTGTTTGTGGGAGGGTGCCAATCCCAGGGGACCTTGGACCTTGCTGGTTGACCAACGGGCTCATTAAGCAGAGGAGATGGGGTGTGTGACACCCAGCTTCCCCAGAGCAGAAGAGCCCCTGTGTCCCAGCTGATGTGCCCAAGGAAGCTCCGTGTCCATGGCAATGCCGTGTCTCGCAGGACTGCCGGGCTTGCAGCTGAAGTACATGGTGGATCCTGCTTTCCTGCGTGCCGGGGAGCAGCGCTGGTTCCTGCGGTACCTGGCTGAGCACAGCCTCCAGGTGGACATCTGGGATGGAGACTCCCTGCTCCTCGTTGGGTCTGCTGCTGTTAAACTGGAGGTATTGGTTAAACTGGAGGTCTTTACCCATAAGCCTTCAGGACTGCTTATGTTGGAGACCCTCTCCTTAGCGTGCAGGGGTGTTAAGGAAGAGCCTGACTTTTCCTTTGGTCCTGTGTTGAGATGCTGTTGCATTTCCCTCGCGTCTTTAGTAATCGAGTTGCTGTCAGCTCCTCTGTGTAACTGAGACTGATGTCAGCCTGACAAGCCCCTGATTGCAGGATTTGTCATCTTTACCTTGAAAGTGATGGCAGGACGTTAATTTTCTGACTTCTCTGGAGCTCCTGCAGTATCCTAGGGCTGAAACCCCAGACCTAGGACATGGGGACATCCCTACCCAGACCCCTTAACCCCGCAGACCTCCCCAGTAACTCATTACCCGTTTTCCTCAGCCCCTCCTGCGCCAGGGCCGAGGAGCAGTCAGGACACACCATGAGCTGGAGGTGGCCACGACCGAGTATGAGCCAGATGCAACGGTGATGGGCCAGGAGGCTCTCCGGCATGGTGCCCTGCGGCCCCTCGGTGTGCATGTGGTGGTGAGGGGCCGCCTTCACCTCTGCCTGGCCAATGTTGGTAAGAGCCTGCTGCTCACACAGCCAAAAGGCTTGAATGCTGCACCGGTGGCATGTGCCCCTTGCTGGGTAACTCCTGTCCCAGCATCAGCATAGTGCCATGGGCAAGGCCATAATGCTCCTGGTTGTGCCTGTGATCCCTGCTCGGCTTACAAGTGCTGGCACAAGGCTGTGGGGAGGCTGGTGGTGCGGGCACAACGCCATGTGTTTAGGTGCTAGCAAGCAGCATGGGGCTGAGGGAGAAGCGTGCTGTATACATGGCTGTACCTGATGGAAAACCACGCTTGTAAGAGCGTTAGTCTTCCCAGAACCTGCTGGCTGCTTCTATTTTATATATTTAATTCCCTGTCCTATAAATGTGCGGTGACTAAAATCTTATCTTCTGAAGAAAGATTAGCTCCATTAGAAGATACCTGAAATCGTCATTTCCATACTTGCCTGCAAAGGGATGATAAGCTCCTGGGAAGGAGAATCTGAGATCCAAACCCAGGGAGAGGTTTAGTTCGCACCCTGTGAAAGAAAGAGAGGAAGCAAAGATGCTGCAGCAGGGCAGCAGCCACGCTTTGGTGGTTGGTTGTTTTTCCCTGCATCCTCTTCTGTTAATTTCAAAATGCTGTTGTTAAAAGCAGGATTGAAAAGCACCTGAAGGATGGGGATGGCATTTGTTGGCTGGGGAAATACCTGTCAGATTTAGAGCTTTGTCCAGCTCTGCTTGGCATGGCCTTTGTGGATGGCACTGTGCTGATGCTGCTCCGTCTCTGGGCTGCACGGTGGTACCTGCTCTGGAGGGAGCACTGTTGGGCTCACAGAGCATCGCTGGCAACCAGAGTTTGCTCCTGCTTTAACCCGTCACAGGGCTGCAGTGAGGGTAACAGTGAGAACCAGATGGTTTCTGCTCACCTCATCTCTGCTTGTGGCAGGTCACCCATGCGAGGACACCCCAGGACAGCTGCCATCCCCGCTGCTGTCCCGCTCCCGCATCGTGCCCATGCCGGATGGCGCTGCCAACGTCCCAGCTGGCAGCTGGGTCTCCTTGAACGCTGCCAGCGGTGAGTCCTGGGTGGGTTTGGGTCGGCACAGTCAGTGCCAGCGCTTTGCCCCTCTCTGCTGCTCCCCTCCCTGCCTCTGCAGCATCGCAGGGGTCCCTCGTGGTGCCATGGTGCTGTCTGCCCGCAGGCGGGCGGGTGTCTCGGGCACGGAGGCTGGTGGATGTGGATGGGGAGCTGGCGGCCGTGCTGCGCAGCCGCTGGCCGGAGGCAAGGGTGGCCCCTCCAGCAGCACCCAGCGAGGCCGCGGCCGCCCGCCGGCGCAAGCTGCGGCGCATGGCGCTGGTGCGGCAGCAGGAGGATGCTGGTGGTGGGAGGACGCCGCAGCTCACGGTGAGGAGAGGGACCCCAGGGGCTGGGGATGCTGCGGTGGCACCGGGTTTATGGTTCCCTCCCTCCCCAGCAGGGCTGGCCGGAGCAGCGTGCCCGGCACGCGCGGGACCTGCAGATCATCGACGCCTACCGGGAGCACACCAAGGGTGAGAGCATTTCCCAGATGCTCAGCCAGGCCATCACCGTCACCCGCACCGTGCACGCTGTGCTGGGGACAGCTGAGTTCTTTGAGTTCACCCTGAAGAACCCCTATGGCATCCAGCACACTGTGACCATCGAGGTTGACCACCCTGAGCTCAGGTGGGGGCCAAAGCGGGGTCTCCTCTCTGTGTGTGGGGTGATGCCAGGGTGACACTGGCTCCTCACCAGCACCTCTGCCACTCGCTGCCCCAGTGTCATACTGGACCCAAGGGAATGGCGGCACTTCAAGGAGCTGACCAAGAGCGTTACACCGGTGGAGGAGGAGATGTTCCACCTCCGTGATGACCTCAGGCCTCAGGTCTACCTGCGCCCCAATGAGACTGTTCGCATCCCATTTAAATACCAGACCTTCTCTGCAGACCCTGCTGTCGTGGCAGCACAGGTTAGGTGCTGAGCGCCCTTCTGAGCTGTTCCTGGTAGGAAGTGTTTCCCTTGGCTGCGTTTTCTGTGCAGTGGTTCTGTCTCAGGTAGCACTGTGCACCTATGGCAGTGTTGCATCCCGAGGCAATCCGCTCTTGTACCCTGCAGGGACCAGGAGGGCTGGGTGCCGGTGCTGACACAGCCATCCGTTCCCTAGGGAAAAGTGGGGCCGGGCAGACAAAGCACATCCAGGTGAGGGAGCCGGGGGAAAGGGGCTGTGCAGGAGGAGGAGCATCACTCCTGCAGAACTCCATCCTTCTCCTTCCGCCCTCTGGGACAGGTTTCCTTCCAGGTGAGTGGGGGGAAGCCCATCGCGCTGCTGCGGGTGAAGGTGGAGCCGCAGCCCCATGTGGTGGACCAGACCTTCCGCTTCTACCACCCCGAGCTCACCTTCCTGAAGAAGACCATTCGGCTGCCCCCCTGGCACACCCTCCCCGGTGAGCCTGTGGCTCTTTGTTGTTAAGCTACCACCCCTGGCTCATAGGGATGGGGCAGTAAGGTGCGTGAGCATCCAGAGAGCACATGGGTGCTTCCTTGGGCTCCTTGCTTGCTCTTTATCCACCTGCCAGCATTAATTTTATACCCAGTTCCCTGTACCAGGACAGCCATACACTGGGAGGGTTACGGTGTAAGGGGTCCAGGTCTATGGCTGCATGGGGTGCAGGGTAGCAAGCACAAAGTGCTGAATATAGCTTCATCTCTGGGTCTCTCCACAGGCACACCAGTGGGGATGCAGGGTGGGGAGCCTGAGATGTATGTCCGCTGCAGTGACCCAGACATCATTTGTGAAACCAAAACCATGGTACTGGTTCTGCTTTGGCATTGGTCCTGTGCTTTGTGTCCTCCTGCTGCGGGTTGGTTTTGTTGGCGGGGAAGTGCCTTGCACCCGTGCAGGGATGCTGATTTGCAGCCCCTGCTTTGGAACATGCAGCGTGGGCTTCCTGGGCTTGCTTTGCAGCTTGGGGGGGGGTTAGGAAGGGAAACTGAACGTGGGCACAGTCTTTGCAGATGGTGATGGAGGGTGGTTGCTGATTGCCTGACACCCATTAGGATGGGAATTGGATTATGGCTTGTTAGAAAACTTGGGGAAATTTTGCCAAAATTTGATTACAGATGCAGACCTGGAATGCGATAGTTGTTTGTGTCCTCTTTTGTAATTAAAAATATTGGAAGAGCTCAGCCAAGCTCTATAATAACTTGATAACTTGGTTTAATGAGATGCAGACAGCATCTGCGTTCGGTAGCGGGTTTCCCTGATGGGAGGGAAGCCCCGGAGCTCTGGTTAGTGGGATGATGGTGAGGTTGGGATGATGCTCTGCTTTCTGCACGCAGGGGCCTGGGGAGCCACAGGACATCTTCTTAAAAGTAGCTGGAGGACCAAGCCCACAGATCAAGAAGTTCTTTGTTGCTATTTACACGTAAGTACCAGAACCCCAAAAAGGTGAGAAACGGGTAGCTTCCACTGCCCTCCCGTTCCTGGCAGTGTTCAAGGCCAGGTTAGAGCAAGCTGCTCTAGTGGAAGGTGCCCCTGCCTGTGGCAGGGGTTGGAACTGAATGAGCTTTAAGGTCCCTTCAACCTAAACCACTCTGATTCTGTGATCCTATGATTGCAGAGGCTGGGCAGGAGGCTTCCTGAAATGTTTGCAGCTCAGGTTCTCTTTTCCCCTAATCGCTCTTTGGCCAGTGCATCCTCATCATGCAGACAAGTGCCTTCTGCACCATCCTTGGGCGATGCTTTAGGAACGGGTGGGACTGAACTGGTTTCCTTCAAGGAAGCTCACTGCTTGCTCTAAGCCCCTCTGTTTGTCTCGGCCACAGGGACCCGTGGCTGGCAGCACCCATCCAGATCTGGCAGTTCTACCTGCACTCCCTGCAGCGCCTGGATGTGAGCTGCACAACCGGGCAGCTCACCCGCCTCTCGCTGCTGCTCCGGGGCACGCCGGCACCACGCAGGGTGCAAGCCTTCACCTCCCACCCGCAGGAGCTGGAGGTAACCCTGGAGCTGGCCTGTGCCAGGCCATGGAATTCCCTCTGGGAAGCGGGGGAGCCAGCCGGCTTGGAATGACGAATAATCTACTGCGGCAAAGTGTTTGTGATAATTATCTTTTGATTAGGGCTGTCATGTGTAGGATCATCGGCAGGAAAGCCCAGAGGGCAGATTATCTGCGTTAATGAGACTGTCAAGACTAACAATTTCTATAGGATTCCTAATTGCGGGTGTGAATAATAAAAGGCACAAACCCTCCAGCACTGTCCTGTAAACAAAAGGAAAAGTCTCCCTGGGGAAGCCTGGGAGGGGAGGGAGTCCCCAGGCTGGGATGGAGCTGGATTTCCTTGGCCGGCTCCCATCCTTCCCAACACGGAGCCAGTTGTGGTGTAGTCACGTGGGAAAGTTCAGAGCAATGGGATCTCGTTTATGATCCAAGCTGGATGTAGTGTGACAGACCAACCCCATGTTGGTTTCTGCAGGTGGATCCGGATGGTGCCTTCCTTCTCCCTGCTAATGGCATCCAGGACCTGTATGTCGGTGTGAGGCCGCGGAGGGCCGGCAGCAGGTTCATCTACCTCAACCTAGTGGACGTGGAGTCCCACCAGCTGGTGTCCTCGTGGCTGCTCTGCCTGGCCTGCAGGCAGCCCCTCATCTCCAAGGTACAGCCAGTCTCATGGTGGGAAAAGATGGGGATAGAGCTGGACCAGCAGTTGCAGTCTGGCTGATAACCCAGAGCAGGCTCCTGCTTCTCCCTCCCTTTCCATTATGGGTGTTTTGGTGCTTGCCACCCTGAGGACATGTTTAGCCCCGGTGTGCTTGTATAATCTCACCCAAATCCCTGGTACAGTGTGTTTTGGGCTGTTCTGAAGGCAGTCCCATCAGCTGGTCAGTATCTCTGGTTGTGAGTTGAAAGTTGCAGCCTGCTGCTTTCCATGAGGCCTTGCCTCAAAGCTGGAAAATCAGATTCCTGGTAACGTGTTCCTTTAAAACATTTTCATGGAACCCTCAGGACCGGGGGGGCTCAGATCAGTTTGAACTGATGCCCCAGCACACGGCCAAGTGCTGCAGGGTTATCTGAGGGAGCTCCACTGCTCTGCCCATGGACACCCATTAATGAGCTAGAGAATGAGCTGCCAGGACCCAGGTGCTCCCTGGCCCTTGGTCAGTCGGGCTTGTAATTGCTCCTCTGAGTACAGCGGTGCCAGCAGCAGCGTGAGGAGGATGCTTCTGCTTGGAGGTGGTTTCTTGGTACCTGTTGGCAGAGACAGATGCGAGGTGTGGAAGGGGAGAGGAGGGGATGTGTGCTCCAGAACACTCTCCATGGTGTGCTGGCGTGGGAGGCAGCTCCCCGGGGTTGTACTGGGGTTCCCTCTGTGCTGCTCCTGCTATGGTTTGTGTTTGTCCCGCAGGTGTTTGAGATCTCGCTGCCTGCAGGAGGTGGCAGAGGCTGCAACAAGCGCATCACCTACACCAACCCCTACCCCTCGCGCAGGCTCTACTTCCTGTGCACCAACCGGCCCGACCTGCTGCAGTTCAAGGAGGACTCCTTTGAGGTATGTGCCCCCCGCCTTGCCAGCCCCCTGCCCTCACCCAGCGGGGCCGTGCAGTGCATGGTGTGGTGCTGTGTCCCGCAGGTCGCCGGTGGGGAGGTGTACACCATCGGCTTGCGCTTCGCCCCCAGCCAGAGCCCGGCTGAGGAGGAGATCCTGATTCACATCAATGACCACGAGGACAAGAATGAGGAGACCTTCTGCGTGAAGGTGCTCTACCAGTGAGCCTGGTCTGCCCCGTGTCTCTGCAGGGGGGGTTGAGCCTGGTCCCCTCTTCAAGCCACAAGGGCACCGGCATCCCCAGGCATTGCCATTGAGCGCTGGTGGTGCCACGTGGCTCCATCCACACAAAGCAGGGAGAGCGAATGTGTTTGTTACCACACAGGATGGCTTTATTTTTGTCAAGTGTTACTACGTTTTTAAGCATTTTTGGAATCTCTTTTTTTTCTTTTTTTTTTAACATAAAAAGTTTGCAGATTTGTGTCTGCGGGGTATTTTTAAAGTATTTTATATTCTGCAGTGAGTTTTGTACGCACTGAGGCCGTTTGCTGGAGTTTGGGGTATTTTTTTACTCATCCTTCCTCAATTAAACTTGCTGTGCAGCGCGGCAGAGCGTGGCAGCGTCTTCTTCCGTGGGAGGTGGAAGCCTTTGGAGTCCCCATCCTGCAGAGGCGACTGCTGCAGTGGCACCAGTCCCACGGTGCGGAGTGCTGGGGGGCCCCTGGATCCCCCTCATTTGCCTGGAGCATCCTGTGGGTCAGTGCAGGGACTTCGGATGGGAGTGGTGGGGGGAATAAAGTCCAGGCTGTGGAGGAAACACCAAGAGGTGAGAAAACAAGGAGCCAAGGCCAAAAGAGGGGGGGGGGGGTGGGTGTCTCTGGCCCTTGCTGTGCCCCTATCATCACACCCTGGCTAAGCCCCATTAGGAACGCATTAGGGCTTCATGGGTCTAAGGCTGGTGCATGAGGAGCCCTGATGAAGTCATTGCAGAGTTCCTCTGCCTGATGGCAGATGACAGCTGATCTTTTACAAGGGATTGCTCTGTCTGCGGCACTGAGAGGCCCCGAGTTGGGTTGTGGCAGTAGATTAACTGGATAATCCTCATTCTGTTTTCATACAGTGATATTGCTTGAGGCTTGTGAAGGAGCTGGTGCTGCCTGAGCCCCAGTAAATGATGTGCTGGTGGGCCCTGGCTCTCCTCACTGGTGGCAGCTCCTTGTTCTCTTCCCATTTTATTCATGTCAGGAATACATTTGGATTATTGTAATGATACAGTTAATTCACCCTGGAAATCTGCTCCCATCTCCTCACCGGCATGCCCAGGGAAGAAAAGATGAGGAAGTGGCTCTTTAACTGAGCTCTTTGATGGGGGTCAGGGTGGGTTGCTGAGTTGGAGCTCTTTGCATCATGCAGGTGCTTTGGGTGCCCTTGGAACCCTTTCCATGACTCTGGTTCCATTCCTGCTTTGCCTCACCCCACATCTGTTTCTTGGTGGGGTTTGTGGCTATTGTTTGGAGACATCTGCTGGGGACCGTGAGGGATGCTGGGGACCGTGAGGGATGCTGGGGACCGTGAGGGATGCTGGGGACCGTGAGGGATGCTGGGGACCGTGAGGGATGCTGGCAGCTGTGCCACTGTGTTGTGAAGAGGTGGATGGGGTGGATGCACTGGGGTGGTTCCTGCTCCCTTCCCAGCCAGCTTTCTCTCCACGAGCTTTACCAACCAGCACTGGCCCTTCCCATCCTGAGCAGGGCATGGGAAAACCCATCAGCATTCATTCACATACCCAGGCAGGAGCTGTTGTTGTGCTGAACTTTACTGCAGGAGCTGAACTTTACTGATCCTCAGAACAAACAAGTTCCGGGGCTGTGTTTGGAGCTGGGGAGACAGGAGCAGGCTGGGCTGGCCCAGTGGTGCCAAACAGGGCCACTGATAAGGGGCAACTAGAAATAGATGGGAGAAAGGGAGGTGGGTGCAGAAGCTCCTGCTGCAGCTGGGCAGCAGGTTCCTGAGGTGCAGGGGGTGATGGCTCCAGCCCAAACCTTTATACCCAGCTGATTTTTCCTATTAAGAAAATGAAATTGCAACTGCCTGAGCCGCCTCTAATTAAACAAAGGCTCACATAATATTTGCTGGGAGCCAGCCAGCCTTGTAACATGACATTACGGAGTATCTTTATTAGCTGAAATGAGTACTTGGAGCCTCTGCCAAATTGAAAGGCGATGGATGCATTTGGAAGTGGCACTTGCAGGGTAGAGCAAAGGCTTCTACAACCTGCCCATGAGCCTTGGCTATGGCAGGTAGGGCCGGGAAGGTGCCCGGTGTTGGCACCCCAGTGTGATGCAGCACCTTGTGATGGCAGACACAGAATTCCATGGATGGAGCACGCATCACCTTCGGGCTGGCATTGGCCAAGTGATGGGATTATCACAGCTGGGAGAGGCAGATTGGGCTGTGGCTATTGGTGAAGCTGATTAACTTCTGCAGTGCCTTATTGCTCCTGCATGACCCCCTTTGCAGTGCAGCAAATGGGCATGACAAGCCTATCACCGTGCCTCGGGGCTGGGGAAAACCCCGTGCTGAGGTCTGCCCTATGGAGAAACTCCTGGGTATCCTCAAGGAGCCTGTTGGGGTGACTCAGCTCTCATTAGGGACCGGACGTGCTCCCACTGCAGGAAGCTTTGGTGCTGTAACGCATTGCTCTTGGCATTCCCAGCTGGAAGCGTTTTGATTCCAGAGCCTGAAATGAGGTTTTTATTTTGAAATGTGATTTGCCTTTTGTTCCAGAAGGTCAAAATCTAAATGAAATGCTTTAATTCACCTGAGCTGAATTCATTGGGTTTGGGCTTGGGCAGGCGCACGGTGACTGAGCTCAGGGTGCTGTGAGCTCTTGCAGCCTTTCCTGCAGCATGACTTGAAATGCTTGCTCCTGATTAAAGTGTGGTGGAAAACCCAGAGCAGTTTACTCCAGGCAGCTATGGGGCTTCATGCTGAAGACATCCAGCAGGAGTGATGATGCATCAGCTTTAAGACCAGCAAATGGCTCTGGAGGTGACAGCGCATCGTGGAGCCAGGCTCCTATGGTCGGTTACAGTCCTCTCTGTCCCCTGTACTTCTCTGAGGTGGTGTCAGATGTTGTTCTGCAGAGGAAAAACCCCTTTTGGTTATTCATATGTAGCCCAAATACTGCAGCGATCCCAGGGCTGGAGTCTGGAGGGTTTATTCCCTGTTTTTCCCATGCGTCTTCCTGAAAGCGCAGCACCGACTTGATAAAGAACGATTTAATGGCTACAGAACCCGGCGATAAAGCTGCTCTTAATGGATTGCTTGAAGATCAAGGCTGTCAAATACCAGGCTCAAAATCCTTCCTACAACAAGAGCAACTGTATTAAGTGCACTCAATCAAAACCAGGCTGAAGGTTCCATAAGTGAAACAATGGCTGTCGGAAGCGTGGTTCATTGGCGTCTCCGGCAGAGATGAAAAGCATCCTCGCCGTGGCTGCCGTGCTCCTGTTCAGCTGCAATGGATGGGATGTGAAGGGCGTTATCAAAACACGTTCTTGATGCCTGGTGGGGGCCTGTTGGAAGAGGGCGATGGGACCCACGCTGCAGCCTGGGCAGAGGACGCTGCAGGATGCTCACCTGGGGACCATGCTCATCAACACATTCCAGAATCCACCATGAGGAAGGTTGGAGACTTCCTATGGAGCTCGTCTCCCTCCTGGGTTTAGTGTCCAATGGGTTTTACATTGCTCAGAGGGATTTTGGGGTCTTTGATGGGCCTTTCTGCAGCCATGGGGTGAAGGAGTGGGGCCTCTGCCCCTGATAGAGCAGGGCTTAACAATAATTCACAGCTACATAATGAGACATCTTCAGCATTTGTAAGCTGCTTTTTAATCATTTCCCTTCTTCCTGGCCCAAGCTTGACCTTTGATGAAGCATTGAGGCTTTGTGTTCGTTTGCCAACTGATTTATGGTACGGAGGGGGGAAGCAGCGTCCACCCTAGCGAAGGTCAGCAGTAGGGAGGGCTTTTCACTAATTCAAATACCACTGATGTTCTTCAATGAACCGTATGGGTTCTGTGGGCAATGGAACGTGCCTCTGGTGAGGGTCTCGTTCCCGTAGCAGATCCCATTGGAGCGGGAGCTGGACCAGATCACTCAGCTCACCATGGGGAGTCCAGCGTGGAGGCCCCTTGCAGCACCCTGCTCTAGTGGAAGGTGGGGCAGGGGTTGGAACTGGGTGCGCTTTAAGGTCCCTTCCAACACAAACCATTCCATGATTCCACGGTCCTTTCCCAGGGGCATTGGCTTTGCCTCCTGCACTAAGACCCATTTGTTTGCTTCTGGAAGGGTGGTTGGGAGCTGGTGCGTGAGGAGGGTGAACGATGCCGGCGGTACAGCTTATCAAATGTCACACAGATCTTATCTGAGGGAAGCACACTTCAATGATTGAAGTAAATGGAAAGTCCTGGAGTAAAAGCCTCAGAGGCTACGGCCTTCTGTTTGTCTCCAAAACACAAATGGAGCGGGAGATGGGAACGGGAGATGCCAGCGGGTGAGGATAGGTCTGGAGCATCCTTATACCTCTGTGCTTCCTGGTTCTGCCCTGCAGAAAGCTGAGTCCTTTCTCACTTGGAGCTGAGACTCTGCTGGGCACTGGCCCTGTGCACATCCCTGGGGCACCAGGTTATCCTCCGGGTGGGCTGGGATTTGGTTTTATGGCTGGGAGTCTCTTACAGTGTCTGCTGGGTCACCTCGTGCTTGGGACACGGTGTCACCCGCTCTGCTGGAGAAGGGCTCTGAGTGTGTTTATGAGAACTGCTCATAAAAGCTGTTCTCTGCTGTCAGCACAGGTTTAGGCTCCCCTTGGGATGGAGCTGACATTTACAGCTGCTCCTGCGGGATAAAGCCAGGATTACCTGCTGCCAGCCCTCATCCGCCTGCAGCCGAGGGCTCTCTGCCCCAGTACCCCTTCCTCTACTGCTACACTGGCACCTACACCCCCAGTGCTGCCCCAGGACCCCGACATCTGAAGCAGGGAACCTCTGCTAAGCCTTGAGGGGCTGTTGGCTGGTGGGTGCTTGAGCATCACCAGTGGTCCTGGGCTTTGGAACTGTGCAGCTCCTCATCCCATCGCATCGCATCCAATCCCATTAACTCAAACCAGAAACAATCCATCTGGCTTCTCACCTCCCAGCTGAGCCCCACGAGCTGTTGATGGTGCAAGACCGTGGTGCTTTGCCCCTGCAATCACTGCTCCCAAACCAGAGGCTGTTGTGTTTCTCCAGTCCAGGTTTGGCAAACCTGGGTGTTTCAGTGGGGGTGAGGTCCCTGCAGCATGGGGACAGCGATGGGGTTTGCCTTGGACTAGGGTGCGTGCCGATAGGATGCTCTGAGCTCTGCTGCACGACCCATCTGCCCCTCACTTCGGATTAGTGAACAAAGTCGGGGGGGGGAAAAACCCAATCAAAGTCTTCCCATGGATAATTTCCTCACAGGAAAAAAGAGGTCAAATGAACTAAATCAATCCTGTGCTGCCAGGGGCTGGCCCAGCCCGGCCCCCTGCCTTTCAGAAACAGGTTTTCAAGCCTAATGGTATCA